CGGGCCCTTGCCCTCCCTCCCTCGGGGCCCGGCCGCCCGCTGTCTGGCATGTCGCAGGGCCTGTGGTAGTGTTTGGGTCTTTATCTGACCTCCGTCTCCTCTGTCAGACGATGAGCCATGGAGGGGCAGGGAGCACGTCTGTCTGTTGTATCTATCACTGTCCCCGGCACCGACCCCAGGGCTGGTGCACAATGGCCACCTCCTCCTGACCCTCTGAGAAGGAGCTGTTGGCCTTGCTCTGGAATCTCTCTGTGGCTCTCTGTTCGTGAGGTCTGATTTAGCTTTTGGTTGTTCAAACGTGAAGGGGCCCTGATCTTGGGCCAGGCCCTGGGCAGGGCAATAGAGAGAGATGGGAGAGATGGGAGGAACAGCAGGGCACGAAGTGGGTTCCAACTGCTGACCTTTCGGTTTGCAGCCGAGCGCATAACCACTGTGCCACCAGGGCTCCTTGCAGTACGTATAAAACATGTATGAGTGTTGGGGGTTAGGCCTGGCGATCTACATCTGAAAATTAGCCAACGAAAACCTTATGAATAGCAACAAAACACTGTCTGATATAGCGCGTGAGTAGACGTGCATAAAACACACATGTGTGCATGGAGTTGTTGTTGCTGCTGAGTTAATCCTGACTCACGGCAACCCTACTGTGTGCAGAGTAGAACTGCTCCATAGGGTTTTCAAGGCTGTGACCTGCTGGAAGCAGATCGCCAGGCCTTTCCTTCCAGGTGCCTCTGGGTGGGTTCAAACTGCCAACCTTTTAGCTAGAAATGCTTAACCGTTCATGATGCCTAGGATCTGTGTGTGGGCTAAGTATGTATAAAACGTGTGTATGTGTGGGAGCAGGTATGTCTAAAACGTGCGTGTGTGGGTGTGTGTGGGTGTGTGCATGTGCATACGTGTGCGTATTTGTGTGTGGGTAGGTGTGTGTTATAGACTGAATTGTGTTTCCCCAAAGTATGTGTTGGGATCCTAACCCCTCTATCTGTGGGTGTAATCCCATTTGGGAAGGAGGATTCACTGTCAAGTTAATGAAGCCATATCAGGGTCCAGTGTGTCTTAAGCCAATCACTTCTGAGATCTGAGAGCAGAGCAGACACAGAAGCAAGCAAGCCCAGGTGGGGGAAGACAGACGCAATACACGCAAAGGTCGCCAAGGAACCAAGGAACAGAAGCTGCAAAGAGACAAGGACCTTCCCCCGGAGCCGAGAGCGAGCGAGCCTTCCCCAGAGCTGGTGCCCTGAATTTGGACTTCCAGCCTCATAACTGAAAGAAAGTCAATTACTGTTCATTAAAGCCATCCACTTGTGGCATTCTGTTATAGCAGCACGAAGAAACTAAGACAGTGTGTATAAAACATGTGCGTGTATATAAAACGTGTATATAGAATGACTCCTGGCAATCCTACGTGTGGTGAGTACACCTGCTCCACAGGGCTTTCAGTGGCTGATTCTGCGGAAGTGGTTATGCCTTTCTTCTGAGGCACCTCTGAGTCGACTTGCCCCTCCAATCTTTCAGTTAGCAGCCGAGCGCATTCACCCCTTCGCAGCACCCAGGGACTCTGAATAAAATGCAGGCTGCAGGAAAAGCCTTGGAAAGGCGCTCTCCGAGACGAGGCCTGCCTGGCCCAGTGGGGCTCACGGAGTGCTACGTGGGGGACTCAGCTAGGCCGCAGCTGTGCCAAGGGCTTCTCTGCCAGCTGGGAGCCTCTAGGGAAATGTGTCCCTCGGGGACCCTGCAGAGAGGGCTGGCTACTTCCAGAGGGCGTTTGCGGGGGCCTGGGTGGGCCCTGGCAAACAGCCTCTCCAGCTGCACCTCTTCAGAGTGACTGCCTGGTGCTCTACTGCCCCGGCCTCAGCCCAGGCGAGGCGAGGCTCTTGGGGCCAAGGCCCCACCGTGCCTCACTGTGTTTTCTAAGGGTTGGCATTAAGCATCTGCTACGTTTGAAATTTGGGAAGAAAAGACCTTTACGTGAAACTAGCCGAAAATCTAACATACCTAAAAAGCGCCCCCAGTAGGCTGGAAGCAACTGCCCAGGATGCAGTCAGGGCCACCTACCAGCTTTGAAGCTCAGCTCGTCATGCTCCTGGCCTTCGTAGTCGTAAAGGGCCCGGACCCGCACCTCCATCCCTGAGGTGGTGTCCTCGTCAAATGGGTTTGAGTCCCCATTGGCATCCACGGAGAATGGGTTGTTAGACTCGTCGTCTGACCAGTCCGTGGGGTAGGTCTGGGTCTTCTCATAGCTGCTCACGCTGCAAGAAAGTGTGGGCACAGGTGCCTCAGCCAGGGGCTGGCCCCCAGTCCAGAGCCGCGGCGCCGGCCGGAGCTTCAGCCCCTGGAGGGGAGGACGCAGCAGCCCAGGGCCAGGGCTGAGGACTCCCCCAAAGGAGCACAGCTCCCTCTGGCATCACGGCCGAGGGCAGGTTCTCTGCAGGGGCAAGCCAGGCCCTCGTGAGAACTCCTGCCATGTCCACGTTCATGAGACCCTGGCACACGGGGGCAAGCCGGCAGAGATGCCACCCGCATGGCGCCCCACTCCAGCAGGGCCTGCCCGTGCAGCCCGCCAGGTGCTGTCTTCTGTGGCGGTGGTGCCAGGCCTTGACAAAGGTTAAATGGAGGGTGGAGAAAAAGCAACTAAAGAGTGTTAGCGGGTGTCCCTCCCCAAGAAGATGGAGAAGCCAGAGACGGGCCAGGTGCGCGGCGCCCTCCTGCAGGGCCTCATGCATGCTTTCGTGCTGAGGGGCGAGCCCCTGAGAGCCCTGGACAGAGAGAGGGAGAGAAGGGAGGGGGAGCGTTCGTTCACCAACTTTTTGGCCTTAATGTCCTCCTTCTCACTGACGGTGCTCCCCGTGTCGTCCTCGTCCTCGAAGGGGTTGTAGCTGGGCTGTGACTGCGCTGACTGCGCAGGGTTGCTCGGGACACTAAGGTTGCTAGTGGGGAGAGAGAGAGTTTTCAGGGGACCTGCTGCCCAAGGAGCCCGCAGCCCTGCCGCAGGACCACAGTGTCAGCTCTGGAGGACACATCAGCTTGCCCCGGAGCAAGGAAGTCACGTTGTTGAAACAGAAATGTTACATCAGCAAAACACGTGGCAATACTCTTAAAGCACCTGAGAGAGGACAAGATTTCCATTTTCCTTCCTTGCGTTGTCTGCTGGGGATCTCTCCAGAACAGGAGCCCTAGGCCACAGCTGAACACAGGTGATCGGAGCTCTACAGACCCCAGAGCTGAGTGCCAGAGGGCTCAGGCAGCCTGTTCCCCTGGGCCTCCTGGGGCTGTAGCTTCCAAAATCAGGACTAGAGTCTACTGAGCAGCCCTTATAGGAAGAAGGACCCCGTTTGTGCTCCAGAGAGAAAACTCATTCGGGCAACTCTATCAACAACCGCCTACTGTGCGCTGGGCCCTGGGCAGGGAACAGAGAGAAACATGCCTGAGTCCTGGCTGAGGGCTGACAACCAAGGGGTGAACAGCCAGCGTAGGTGCAGCTGCTGTAACAGAGGCCAGAACAAGACGTAAAGGCACAGAGACAGGCCCCGAAGAGCCCTGGACACCACGACATAGCTCTGGGCTGAAAGGAGCCAACACCAAGTCACGAGGCAGGGGCTCCCTGGGCTGCGTGAAGCAGGCACTCACAGTGCCAGGAGACAGCTCAGTACAAGTGCTCACCACCCCAGAGCCAGGAGGGGAGGCTTGGTGACCCTGAGGTACCAGCAACTACCTCAGCTGCCTCAGGCCTGGCAAGGGGCACTGGACCCAAGACTGCCAGCACCTGTACCCAGGCCATGTTTGAGGCCACCAGGTCCTCCTCCTCCTTGGTCCTTTTCTGAGAGGGAGCTGGTGCTGGGCAGCTGAATTCTTACAGGCCTGGCCAGTCAAGAGGCCCAGAGCCACCTCTGAGGTGGTGCCCTGCTCCCACCCCTCTCCCCCAGCCACAGAGGGCGGGCCTGACCGCTAGGTGGCGCTTACTGCTCGAGTCACTTGACGGAGCCCAACTGTCCAGGCTGCTTGCTGAGTGACAGCCAGCCCATCACCCAGGGAACCGGCTGGTTCTTCCCAGGAAGCCACAGTCGTGTGGGGCATGACTACCGAGCACGGCCCGCGAGGTCTCTGAGCCTGGGCCTGTGGCCAGACAGGGCTTCCAGGAAACGGTCTGCATCATGGGGGCTGTGAGTTCTGAGTCTCGGAAGCAAGAGAAAGGCCTTGCCTAGCACACTCTTTCCAGAAGGTTCCAGTGACCTCAGTCCCATCTCTTCTATCCACAACTGATTTTCAGCAATGAGGTTGAAAGTAACCGATGCTCTCAGTAAAGAAGTGACCTGAAAAAGGGGACACCTGACAATCCTCTCACGTCCCCCTCAGACACCTGCGCACAGCAAGGAAGTAAGTACAGACCTCGCACCCGGACACCTGAGCCCACACGGGGGGATCTACCGCCAGTGTCCAGAGTACAGACCTCGCCAGGACACCTGAGCCCACACGGGGGGATCCACCGCCAGTGTCCAGAGTACAGACCTCGCGCCCAGACACCTGAGCCCACATGGGGGATCCACCGCCAGTGTCCAGGGTACAGACCTCACCAGGACACCTGAGCCCACACGGGGGATCCACCGCCAGTGTCCAGAGTACAGACCTCGCCAGGACACCTGAGCCCACACGGGGGCACCAACGCCAGTGTCCAGAGTACAGACCTCATGAGGACACCTGAGCCCACACGGGGGGATCCACCGCCAGTGTCCAGAGTACAGACCTCGCACCCGGACACCTGAGCCCACACGGGGGGATCCACCGCCAGTGTCCAGAGTACAGACCTCACCCAGACACCTGAGCCCACACGGGGGATCCACCGCCAGTGTCCAGAGTACAGACCTCATGAGGACACCTGAGCCCACACGGGGGGATCCACCGCCAGTG